CAATTCCTATCCCTAGCAGATGGTTGTGATTTTCAGTGCCCCACCATGGCCAGTCACTCTCTTCTTAGCCTATCATCTCTTTTGCTCTTATGTGTAAGAAATTGAGACTAGCCACGTAGTTCAGCTGCCGGCCCCTGTGACTTGCCATAATAAAAATCACTTTGTTTCCAGGGAAATTGCTTCTTCTCAATATTTTCTGCACAGAGACTATATAAGATCCAGAGGTGCATATGACAGCAGGTACTTGCGTCAGTGGCTGCTAATATTTTCATGTGACATGGGTAACTTTATCTGGACCTGGCTGGATACTTTGGGAAGTGCTTGGTTCTGATTGTCCTGACATTTTGACTGCTTGAAAAATGCTTTATTTGTCCTCAAAGTCTTTTTTTTTTTTAATGGGTAAGTAAAATAAATCCTGAGCTATAATCTAACCCCATTGTGCCACTTTTGCACAGGAAAAAAGTGAGAAAACACAGATCTTCCGAGCTGTGGATTCCGTTACTGTCATTTATAATAAGTCTCCTTTGCATCACTTTGGCAATGTAAAGGAGCCTTAAAAATTTTACAGGTTTTATGCTCTTGGGGGAATTGACTGAGAATGGGAACAGTTAACTAACAACAGAAACATTAACAATGTTACTATGTAAGCAGGCTGCTACATTTCTGCCTCAGAGAATGAAATCAATTAACTATCAATAGTGCCATTAATAATGATTTTTTTTCCACATCAAGAACAGTGTTTTATTTCAAACATTGAAACAGTTTTGTAGGAATGCACAGAGCAGACTCGGATTCTTCCACACCATATCCCCTCTCAAGCAAAAACTGACTGAATTTTGTTTCAATCTGTTATCTGCTATAAAATGAGCCTCCAGGCAATTTAAGGGATAGCACTGGCTGATTGCGTTTCCAACCCTGGCAATACAGCTGCTTGCTTCCTTGCAATGAAGGAACATAGCTAAATTTCTGCCTCGGGACAGACAGAGCCTGCCTCATGCTTAACAACCCAAAGCCCTACCCGTCCATGCCAGGTGCTCTGCAGTAGCAAGTTAGAAGGACAGTCTCTCTCTCTCGCTTGTTCACACTCATGCACACCCAGCCCTGCCCCCTGACAGTGATTAACATCCTTCATACAGGCACGCATACCCAGCCACCCACCTCCCCACAGTGATTTGTGTCTGTGACTGCTGCTCCAGGCACACTAAAACAGACGTACCACCTGGGCTGCTGGGGAAGAGGCACGTGTCTCCCGCAGACTTCTTCTGCATTTTTCTGTGTGGGGGGCACAGAAAACTGCATAAGTCTTCCGCACCCACGCAGAATTCTGTCAGGAGTAGCATTTGTATGTTATGCAACATTGTCTAGAGCATCATCATGTAGAGTTTCATTACTATGCAGTGAGTTTAGAGTGCTTCGCCACCGTTGATGCTGCAGATCCCTGGTCTTCTACCCACTAGCTTCTACATCCTTGGGATGTGAGAACTATCTTCATGCTGCCGGGTCTCTTTGTGGGTCCTGCAGGACTTCCAGTTGGTGCTGTGTTCTCCTCATTCATGTGTTTAAGGCATAGCCAGAAGAGGAGATCCAACTAGAGGCACTGCAGGATTCATATATAGACTTAGGTGTGTAGAAGCATCATACGAAGCTCTCCCACCACAGTGGGAAGGGGGAAGGGAAAAAAGAGCCAGAAAATCATGAGAGGACATGCATGCCTGGAAACTTCCAGAATGTTTGGGGTACACATTTCCTTTCTCTGAGTGAAAAATCATCATTGAAGAAACTGTTAGAAATCTGAATTTAACCGCCATGTGGAATTTCCATGCTTTTTTTTCTTGGTGGAACATCATAAGGTCTTCTCCCCCTCCAGCTTCACTTACCTAATTTAGGAAAGTGTTTTTAATGTTTTAATTTTACAATGAGTTAAAAGGAAGGTATAATTTGATTTATAGTCATGGGATCTCAACCCCTGGCCCAGTAGTGGGTTAAAATACTACTGAAACAATGTTCTTAAGGCCTGAGGCTTTGCCCTTGTCACAGTCCTTGACAGCAAACCCTGTAGAGGTTGTAACATTTTTATTTAGCTTATATCACAAATAGAAAATCAGCTCATCTCATTTTGCAAGCACAAATCATCCTCAGGCCCACCTTATGGCAGGCAGGCAATAGTAATTATACAGTCCTCCAGCATGAGTTCCAGGTGATATGGACAGCCACTGAATTAGAAAGAGGATTGTATTGTGTGAGGCGTTTTCTATTAACTTTGTGTATTGACCTACACTGAAAGCAGATCCAGATCAGGCAGGGACAAATGCAATGTCTCTTCTGGTCATTGTCAAGTTTCAGCCAGAGTCTCTCACTATGATTCTGGATATGTTAAGAGCTATAACCTGCAAGTTGGTTCCATTTCCTTTGGGCCTGGTAAAATAAAACAGGTGGAAGAGGGAGCAGCATTAAGTCCACTGTTGTCTACTGTATTTAATGCTTTTCTGTTGAAGGGCAGTGTGCTAAAAAGAAAGGACAGAACTATTTAATAAGTTTCCATTAACCTCCCAAGCAAGCCAATAAATCCTCAAGATTAATAAAGGCTGCTGACACATAAAAGATAATAGGCATGGATAATTGACAGCTGTCCATTCCCAGGACATCATCTGCCAATTAATCTAGTATACTCTCCATGCCATACTCTGGCTGAGAACAGGCTTAAGAAAAGCATAAAACCTTAGATTACACCAAAATTGCTTTACTGCCCTCCTAATAATACTGGCCCAAAAGAGAACGTTAGAGACATGGTGATCATTAAAGAATGTCAATTTAAAGAGATGTTTTCTTGAACATGGACCTAAGAACTACCCATATTTGAGGAGAATTCCAGCTTTTGTGTATGGTTCTGTGAATCTCTGTTCTATCACCTCTCATTCTCAATGTGTACGTGAAACCACTGCAGAGAATGGACTGATTTAGGTTACCATAGTTGTAGCTCAACCCCCGCACGGACAAGCTTTGCCCTTATTGTAGGGAGCTCCATTATGCTAGTGGAGCAGACTTATTGACCAGTCTTTGCCCCCCAAAGCTTTAGTCATTCTTTTAGATGCTCAATGGCCCAGGCTCTCTTGAAGATAAGGATGAGATCTTGAACTTGGATTTAGTATTCTATGGGTAGCCAGGGTAGAGAGTGGAGGACAGATTTGATGTGTTTTCAGTAGCCTCTTTTGTTAAGGAGACACGCTGCATCCCCTTGTGCTGGTACAACGTTCTTTACTAGCTAGAATTGCCTAAGTGCTGAAGGCTTAATGCCCAGGTATAGTAGTCCAGCCACGAGGTGATGAAGGTGTGAATAACTGTGGATGGCATCTCTTAGCCAACTGAAGATGGTAGAAAGTGTTATTTACAGCTACTGCTATGGGAGAGCTCGGTGTCAGTGAAAAATCCAAGAGCACACCTCGCCACAGGCTGAACTGACCCTTTTGGAGGTGTGTATCTTCAACCAAAGCAGAGTGCATCATAGCTGCAATCTTTTCAGAATGCTCACCCAGGGAGCATATTACACCAGCTCTCCAGGGTAAGTACGTGCTTCCAGGTGCAATCTGATGTGTTGACCTATACAACCCTATATGATTTGGGTTCCATTTACATAAAGAGTCTTGTTACTCTTGTGAGAGTTGAGGCATTATTGCTTAATGTCCCTAGATTTGAATGGCTGCTGCCAGGGTGTTCTTAGTAGAGTGCCCTGTGCTCTAGAATTTGCTTCTCTGGTTAGATCAACAAAGCTAGAGACTGGTTGGAGGATTTGGAACAATTCAGATGCTTTGAGAGTGGGTGGCAGTTTCCCAACATCTTTGTAGTAATTTCACTTGAGACAAATTTCAGGGGTGGCAAGGAGCCATAAAATTAAGGTCAGACCAACTATGTCCTGTTATTCTGGATTGTTCTGTTGAGAGGCAATGATGAGCTTTGAAGAACATTCCATCAGTCTTTCGCTAGAATGGTGACTGATGCGATGCAAGGCTATGAGAGGGTAAGGAGGAAGTGTGGTGGGGAGCAGTGGCAAAAGTCTTTAAGAATAACAAAATGTAAATTAGAAGCCTCAGAGTGCTCTAGTGTGTGCGTGTGTGTGTGTGTGTGATCTCTGAGATTAAGGACAATTGAAACAGCAGCAAAAATGTTTACCAGCCAAGACATTCAAAAATACCTAGTGATGTTGGGTGACCAACTTGAGACATCTTAAAAGGGCCTGATTTTTGTAAGTGCTGAGCACCCGCTCTGAGAATTAGGCTCCTTTACGTTATTTCAAAATCAAAGTACTGTGGACAAGATTTTCAGAAGTGTCTAAACACATAGCTCGGACATGTCCCTGTCCCAAAGAGTTTACAGTTCAAACAACACACACATACACTCCTCAAGATACTTCAGTAAAGGGAAGGGGTGAACATTATTAATGAAAAGGGAGGATGCATTGCATTTATGGTAAGTTGCAAAGTAAATAAGAAATTAACAGGGTCTCAGTCCTATCTCTGTTTCTTCATGATACATAAAGAAAGCCAGATTTTCCCCCTACCATCCCACCCCATGTTTATTCTTTTTTCTGCTTAATTGTTCCTTAGAGATATATGATTCCGAGTCTTGTCTTCCCTTTTAGGGTTGGGACTTCTAAAACAATACAGAAATGAGCAGGGATCCTAGAAATCTGTTTTCAACGGAAAAATGCAGAAAAATGCAGAATTTGTTTTTTTACAGGTAATCTTTGGTTCTTACATTTTGTGAAAAAATAAAAACATATGTTAACTATTAATTAAATTTTACTGAAAATATCAATGTCGCTTATTGAATGCGTTCAACCTCCCCCTCTTGTGGTTGATTTTTGAATGCGCTTTAATTTTACAGTGAAACCCAGTTTATCCAATCTAATTGGGAGCGGGGCCAGATCCGATAATTAAAAGAGCTTTTTATCCCTTATTTTAAGATGGAGGGAGGGACTTGGGCAGTCAGCCCTGCGCCAGGAGGGTTTGGGTGGTCAACCCTGCCTGGGACTGACCGCCACAGCCCCAACCACCCAGGGCTGACTGCCAGTTTGGTTAATATGTAGAGGTGGATAATGGAGGATCAGATAAACAGGTTCTACGGTATATCAATAAAACATGTTCAACTGATACCTATATATATTGTGGCTAGGGAATCTAAAGTTCAATGTTTCATTTTTATCACAGAAAAACACAGATTTTTATGTTTTTTGAACAGATAATTTTGGTTTCTTTTGTCATGGAAAACTAGGATCCCTGGAAATGAGTATAGGGATAATCAGCCTTTAGTTGAGGGAACTGGGTAAACAATCCTTAGGCTATATCTACACTTAAAATGCTACAGCAACACAGCTGCTATAGCGCTTCAGTGTAGACACTCATGACAGCGTTGGGTTCTTCCATGGCTATAGTTAATTTACTTCTTCGAGAACTGTCTACCCTGGGGGTTAGGTCAGCTTCACTACTTCTTTCAGAGGTGTGGATTTAAATCTCCAGTGAAGATCAGGCTTTAGTATGCCAAGTGTTTTGGTTCCATTCAACAGGTCTTGAAAGAGTTAATGAGTCAGACTAAAACTCATTTTTCTTTTCAAATGCACTTTACTTCCTTGTTACTTGTGATGTCATAATATGCTAGTTATCCAGCTGTCTGTAGAGTCTTCCAGTTAAGCAAGATCTGAATGTCTAATGTAACTCTCCCCCACACACAACCCAAACTTTTGAGTTTTCTTTAAAAGCCACTCTCTCCCCCATAAGGAAGCAAAAAAGGGGGAAAGCCCAATTATTTTCTCCTTCAACAAGGAATCTAAAGCAGAAGAGAAAAGATGCATGGCAGATGTCATAGTTTTCTGTACCAATTATGGACTGCCCACTGAGCTTGCTTGTACACACACCAGATGTGTTCATCATAAGATCCTTTAATCCACTGCCAAGTATGCCTAAGCTTTATTTAAATAAGGTATATTACAGACCGTGCCACCTACTGGCTAAACGAGTATAATACAGGTTAGCATTCCATTACATCCCCCCTTAAGTTCTACTTTGCTACCATTTAAAATATTTACATCTTTGAAGTTCAGTACCTATCAGTCTGATAAGTGTCTCTGATATTTTCATGTTTTTCATTTCCAGAATCAGTTTTCAGCCACTGCATGCACAGCTCTTATAAAACATTTAATATTTTCCCCTGGTTCTTGTACTCTCTGGTGAAAACATGCTCATGCACATTTCTCTGAGGTACAAAATATGCATCAAACATAGCCCTTTCATAGTCTTCTTTGTGGCTATCTTCAGTAAAGTCAAAGGATTTAAAGATCTGCTCTGCTTGCGTCCCCATCACATAAATTAAAGAAGATACCTGTATATCTCCCCTTTCTTTGTGAAGTTTGTTTGCAGTTCAAAATCTTTCAAATACTGCTTCCAGTCTGTCCATTGGAAAGGTTTGTCAAAGCTAAAGTTCTCTGGGGCATTCAAGAGTGGCATGCTGATGAAATCCTGCAACCTTTATTGCTGTTCCTTCTGTCTGCAATTATTGTTGCTTTGTTCCTTCTGTTTTTGTTCTTGGTTTACTCCTGACATCATGTCATGTTCTTTTGTACCAGATATGGCCTGGTCACAGAGCTTGCTTATACACATCAGATATGTTCATCATAAGATCCTTTCATGCACTGCCAGGTATGGCTGAGGTTCATTTTAATAAGGTATTATTAAATACACTACCACCTAGTGGCTGAGCAGTATAATACAATTTAGCATTTCATTACAGGCTAGCGTTCCAGGCATAAGGAGTACACTAGCAACATAAAAAGAACAGGAGTACTTTTGGCACCTTAGAGACTAACAAATTTATTTGAGCATAAGCTTTCGTGGGCTACAGCCCACTTCTTAGGATGCATAGAATGGAATATAGAGTAAGAAGATATATATACATACAGAGAACATGAAAAAGTGGAAGTAGCCATACCAACTTTAAGAGGCTAATTAATTAAGATGCAACATAGAAGGCATGAAGCTGAGAGAGGGGAAAGAGAGAGTGGGCTACAGCTGTGGCCAGTTCTGTGCAGATGCACGAGGTGCGAGAGAGATCAAGAAATCTTCCCCCCTTTCCCTCCCCACCCATCAGCAGAGGAGGCCCAATGCAGAGGCAAATGTACACTGCACCTTTTCAGAGCATTGCAGAACTGCTGGTGCTGCTGCTGAAGCAAACAAACACAGAATGTCCCAGGAGGAATTCTGGCTGAGTGCAGCATTGCATCTCTCATATACTCACATTTTTAAAAGCCACACGCTAACCCAAAGAGAGCAATAAAACAAGAGGATTAGGAAAAGAAAAAATGCAGGTGGGGGAAAGGTCATGTAGAATGTTGTAGGTGAGGAGGAGAATCTTGAACATGATGTATCAAGTGGTAGGAAGCAAATGAAGGGATTCAGGCAGGGAATCAATGTAGTCTGAACAGGTGAGAGAATGATTTTAGTAGCATCATATTAAATAGACTGACGTGTGGGAGAAGTTAGAGGCAGTGAGAACAGACAGGAGGTATTGCCAATAAACAAGATGAAGAGATGAGAAGCCCACGAATAAGGGCTTTGGTGTGGGGTATTATGAATAGAGGATAGATTTGGGAAATGTTGAGAAAGAAGAGACAGATTTGTTGCTGGATATATACAAAGAGAACTTTGAGTCAAAGAATGGACCGAGATTGTATTGTGAAAACTGTTTTAAACTTGTAATGAGTTTTGCCTTTTGGAGCTAGTATTGCAGGATTCACTGTGATCCTTTTATCCTAGTTTTAAATATTGTCATGCCAAATTTAGAGTAATGGCTGAAGAGAGCTTCAGAAGTCTGCGAAGGACTGATTGCATCCCTGACAAGAATGCCTTAGCAGTCCTTTTATGGGCTTTGGTTGAAGTTTAAAATATTAAAGCCACCCAAGAATAAGAAGGAAAGTCTGAACCTTTATCCTGAAGTGTGACTAAAACTGATGAGAAATGTGTTTTTCATATATTTTGCTTTGAAATACACAGCAGAAAAAATAATGAACTAGTTGAGTAAACAAGATGGCCAAGTCAGCAGCAGCCAATAAACTACATTTTAATGTTTGCAATCTGTAAACTATGAGTAAGACCTGGAATGATTATTACAGTTTAGATCTAGGTATTAGACTAGATGGAATATTAAGAATCACAAGATCAGTTATAAAACATCTCACACCTATTTGTTCTACTGCACTGTACCTCTGATCAATAGTTTTCCATTTAATTTAGATTTTAATGGGAAAACTCTTAATTGTGTGTTCTTATAAACATGTTATTTGAGAAAATAATGCAAGGTAGGTGGCTTTTATTTTAGGATGGTAGTGGTTCAGTGTGGGCGCTTGGGGCAAGGAGGGTTGCAGAAAGAAGGATTAGGGCTGACTGCATGCCTAGATGCGGAATAGGGCATTGATGTGCTCTCTCCCATCGCGGTAATCGGCCTCAGTGATCTCTTCAGCGGTCTCATGCAAAAGCTGGGCAATCCGCTTGTGCAGATTCCTTGGCAAAGCTACAACTTGTTCCTTGTCCCAGTCAGACCAACATATCCATGCCACTGTGCCGTGACGGGCGGGGGGGACCATTGCTGCACACAGGCAAGCGGCATAAGGGCCAGGGCGGAAGCCGCATTTTAGTAGAAGACCCTCCCTTGCTTCCCAGGTCACCCTCAGCAGCAAGATATCTTCCAGGACGAACTCATCCTGTGGAAAATGTGGGGACAGTGTTCAGTATAGGGTCCCCCTGCAGCTGTTTGCTCTCCCCAAAGCACAAAACCAACCTCAGAGGACACAACAGCCTTGAAACAATCAGTCCCACTTGCTCCTGTGCTTACTCACCATTTTGGGGCTCCTGTGGATTATGTGCGCTCATTTTGAGGCAGGCACTTTCTGCTATAGTGTACACTGTACTTGTCTTTAAGTATGGCCAAATCATTGCTCTGTCTAGTGTGAACAATGCTGCCTCTGTCATTTTGGCTTTACAGATCCCAGCCATCCTTGCTATCAACGGCCAAAAGGCTGCAAAGAATCAGGAAGCATCCATGAAGAACCAAAGAGGACCTGCTTCATGAAGTCACGCAGCAGTCTCTTACTGAAAATCAAAAAGTACAGGAGTGGTGCGAGATTGAAAGAAGGCTCCGCCAGTAGAATGCAGATCACCAGCACCAAAGCACGGAGTGGCTCATAAGCATCATGGAGTGCCAAGCATACTCAATACAGGTGCTCATAGCACTGCAGACAGAGCAGATCCACACCTGCCCCCTCCTGCAGCCCTTGTCCCAAAACTCTTTCCCTTGTGCCCCCATGTCACCACCAACCCACTTCCCCCAACATCAGGTTTCTTACCACCACCAGCTGCCTCCAACATCTGTAGCTTCACCGCCCAGCCCTGCAAACTATAACCCTTACCCACTGCACTCAACCCCCATCACCATGCATTTTAGCCAGCCTCAAATGCAGCACTCATTGCCTGGCACTCCAGACAGGAAGGTTGAATATGATAACAGGACATATGCAAATCTGTGATGGTCCCCCGTTCCCCACCCCCGTTCCCTCCTCCCCCACAGCACAGATGTGTCATGCCCTTTCTGTTTCCCCAGCAGTTGTGTTTCTTTTCAATAAATGAATTTTTTTGGCTTTGAAAACATTCTTTATTGCATTAAGTAAAAGATACCATAGCCCAGGAAAGCAACAGGCACTGCAAGTCAGTGCATCATACATAGCAAACACAGATGCCTACTAACATTGGAACCACTACACTTCACTCCCATGCAGTGCACCAAACATTAGTGGTGGCTTTCAGCATCGAATTGCTCCCTCAAGGCATCCCTAATCCTTGCAGCCCCACACTGGGCCCCTCTAATAGCCCTGGTCTCTGGCTGTTCAAATTCAGCCTCCAGGTGTTGAACCTCTGTGGTCCATGCCTGAGTGAAGCTTTCAACCTTCACTTCACAAATATTATGGAGGATACAGCATGTGGCTATAACCATGGGGATGTTGTCATGGGCCAGGGCCAGCTTCCCATACAGACAGTGCCAGCAACCCTTTAAACGGCCAAAAGCACACTCAACAGTCATTCTGCACCGCCTTAGCCTGTTGTTGAACCGCTCCTTGCTGCTTTCGTGGGTAAGAACCTCACTTCTTCAGATGCAAGTCATCTGAAGAAGTGAGGTTCTTACCCACGAAAGCTTATGCTCCCAATACGTCTGTTAGTCTTAAAGGTGCCTGTAAGAGGGCCGGACTCACCCCTGCGGCGCCTCCTGCTGGTCATCCAGGGAATTAGCTCACCAGCCTCTGGAGCACCCTCTGCAGGCCAGTGATCCGCCTTGTCCTCTGCACTGGCCCCCGTGTCCCTTCCAGGACCCCGGTGCCCCTTGCCCTGGGTGCTGCCCCCTGGCAGTACCCACACACACTAGGTCTCCCCTCCCAGGGGAACCCCCACCCACTAACCCCACCTCGCCTCAGGATAAGGCCACTGCCAGTCACCATCTAGCCCCCACTCTCTGGGACAGACTGCAGTATAGGCCACTCATCATCGGCAAGGAGGGTTTGGACCTGCTGCCTTGGCCTAGCCCTGGGCTGCCCTCTGCAACCCCCAGTACCCCTTGGCCTATTACCAGGCCGCAGCCTGGGGCTATCTAGGCTGGAGCTCCCCAGCTCTTCAGCCTTTCCCCAGCCCTGCTCCACTCAGGTACCCTGTCTAGCTCCCTGCAGCCAGGCCCTTCTCTCTCTGCACTCAGAGAGAGACTCTTGAGCTGCCTGGCTCCCAGCCTCCTTATACAGGCCAGCTGGGGCCTAACTGGGGCATGGCCCAGCTGTGGCTACTTCCCCAATCAGCCCAGTAGCTTTTCCCTTTGCCCCAGCCCTCTGCCAGGACTGTTTTAAACCCCTCAGGCAGGAGCGAGGTAACCACCCTGCTACAGTGCCACAGAACCCTCTGTTGCTTTTTACAGATTCAGACTAACACGGCTACCCCTCTGATCCTTGCTGCTGTTAAGGCATGTGTAGGGTTTCATGAGCCACAGCATTAAAGGGTAAGCAGGGTCTCCAAGGCTCACAATGGGCATTTTGCCTTCCCCTACGGTGATCTTCTGGTCTAGGAAGAAAGTCCCGGCTTGCAGCTTCCTGAACAGGCCTGTGTTCCAAAATGTGTCATGCATCTTTCTGGACCAGCCTGCGTTAATGTCCACCGTTAATGTCCATGGTGACCCACAAGCGCCTGGAGAACCATAGAGAAATACCCATTCCAATTTATGTACTCGGAGGCTAGGTGGTCTGGTGCCAGAATTGGAATATGCATCCCATCTATCGTCCCTCTGCAGTTAGGGAAACCCATTTGTGCAAAGTCATCCACAATGTCACACATGTTGCCCAGAGTCAGGGTTTTTCTGAGCAGGATGCGATTAATAGCCCTGCAAACTTGCATCAACACAATTCCAACGATCGACTTTCCCACTCCAAACTGGTTAGCGACCAATTGGTAGCTGTCTGGAGTTGCCAGCTTCCAGATTGCAATAGCCACCCGCTTCTCCACTGGCAGTGCAGCTCTTTATCTCATGTCCTTGCGCCGCAGGATGGGGGCGAGCTCAGCACACAGTCCCATGAAAGTGGCTTTCCTTATCCGAAAGTTCTGCAGCCACTGCTTGTCATCCCAGACTTGCATGACGATGTGATCCCACCACTCAGTGCTTGTTTCCCGAGCCCAAAAGCAGCGTTCCACTGTGGTGAGCATGTCCATGAATGCCACAAGCAATATCATGTCGTATGCATTATGTGAGTCAACATCATCGTTGGACTCCTTACTGTCACTTTGTAGCTTAAGGAGTAACTCGACTGCAATTCGTGACATGCTGGCAAGACCCATCAGCATATTCCTCACAAGTTCAGGATCCATTCCCGCAGACCGAAAGGGAAGACAGAGCGTGCAGTACAAAAAAGGTTAAAAGATGATGCCAAATGTGGACAGAAGCACAGTGATTTCTGGGATGCGAAGCGATGCATCATGGGGCATTGGGACAGGACCCAGAATGCCCCGCCTCCCTTCTCACAAGCCATAGCACCAGAATGGGAAGAGGTACTCTGTGGGATAGCTGCCCATAATGCACCATTCCCAATGCCGCGGCAAATGTGGCCATGCCACTGGGCTTGCAGCTGACAGTGTGAACACACAGCAGCGCTTTCCGTGCTGCGGTCTCTGAGGGCTGGTTTAACTCACAGCACTCTACATCTGCAAGTGTAGCCATGCCCTGAGTGTGTTACAGATTGTTGTAATGAGACATAAAACCAGTGTCTCTGCTGAGTCCGTGATTTTTGGTATCTAGACGAATTATGAATATAAGCTCCCAAACTCATATTTTGAAGGAGTTATGCAGATTTCCTTTGAGGATGAGAACTGAAGAAGAGCTCTGTGAAGCACAAAAGCTTGTCTCTTTTGTCAGCAGAAGTTGGGCCAGCCAATAAAAGATATTACCTCACCCACCTTGTTGCTCTCATATCCTGAGACCAACACAGCTGCAACAACACTGTGATCATCATTTTAAAGTATTTAAAACCTACTACTGCTGGCTGCAGATTCAGTCCATAGCAATGGTGAATGGTGACTCCAACCTCAAACCCAATTGCATTAGTCCCTCTGAAGACATGACAACTAACCCTAATTTATGAGAGTTCATTTTTCCTCGTAACCTCCTATGCAGTCTATGTTTTTACTTTTCAGATCTTAAGGTTCTCCATGAAATTGATTAAATTGTTTAATAAGACATTTACTTACCCACGTGGGGGAGGGAGGAGCCAAATCCATGATTCCAGTGGCACAAAAGCAGCTTCACAAATTATCGTTAACTAGTTGTGCAACTCAGACATTTCAGGCATTGCACTGGAGGTGGGGACTGGAGGGACTTAGACCACTGAGAGCGAAGTACAGAGCCTCTCAGTACTAGGTCAGATCTGGTCCAGACTAGTCATGACCATAAGGCCTAGATCCACAAAGGGAATCATGCACCTTAGTCCCAAATTTTGTTGCTATTGCAGTCCCCAAAATCCACACTCAGCTTCAGCTTAATCCTGTATGTAGTTAACTCGATGCCCAAATTTTTCCTATAAAAGTTCCCTTGACGCCTACATTTCTACCACTGGGCATGCTGCTTCAGGCATGAGCCCAGATGCCTATCTCATGCCTTAGCCCCAGCCTCACCTCAGATCAGGTGAAGATAGGCTGGGCAACACCTATGTTGCTTGTGGAGCCTAATCCATTAGGCATGTGCTGAGCACGCCAAACAGCTGCAAGGAGGGGAAGGCACCAATAGCCTCCCTTATAACCCTCAGCCTAGTAGCAAGGGTATTCACCCAGAATGTGAAAGATGCTGGTTTTATTCCCCTATTTACCTGCTGAGAAGAAGGGATTTGAACAGGGGTTTTTGCACTTCTCAGGCGAGTACTCTAACCACTAGACTATGAGACATTCTCATGCAAATTTCTTTCCATCTCTCCTCTTGAAGCAGTTCCATTATGTATTAAAACACATTGGGACAGAGAAAATGGCATTATAGTCCAGTGGCTAGGGCACTCACTTGAGGGATGGGAAACCCTTGTTCAAATCCCTCTTCCATATCAGGCAGAGCGAGGAATTGAACCATGGTCTCTCACATCCCAGGTGAGTGCCCCAACCACTGAGTTAAAAGGGAAGCCATTTCCTCCTCACCCCCCAGCCATTTTGTGTGGCATTAGGTGTGCTGCCAATCTGGTAAGAAACAGCCGAAGCTGCCTGACTGTAAGAGAGGGTTTGTGGCTATGGATTATGAAGGGTTAAAATCCATGTGCATGTTATATAACAACCTGGTATATGGATTGTGCCAGCTCTTTCTCAGACCCAAAGTCCAGAGTTTGGTCTGGAGACCAGAGGCCTAGCTAAGAGAAAGCTGGGGTAAACAAAATAACATTGCCTTTGCTAAGATCTGCTTGGTCAGTAGAAATGCCAGATGTTGAAGCAATAACTGAATAATTATGTTTCATCCAATGTTTCAAATTGAACAAAGAATCCCTATTCCTATTGTGTTTCTCCTGAAGGGAAAACAGTCTTCCCACAGATCCAACCT